CAGGGTGGCCACTGTCAGCTCAAATGACACTTCTTCCAAGAAGCCTTCCCTGGTCCACCTGGCTAAAGCGAGTCTTCCTTTGACCTCTGTTGCTGCATCTTTCCCCCCCTTTCATTCATCACAGCTTTAACTATTTTATTTATCTGCTCACTAATTTTTTCCCTCCATCTACTTCTGTCCTCCGACTCAGACTAAAAACTCTGAGAGGGCAGCGAACGTTGGTATGTGCCTGGCTCAGAGATGGTACTCAATACATACAGATCTGCTTCGACTTACCATGGGGTTATGTCCTGATAAACCCACCATAAGTTGAAAATATTGAGTGGAAGAGTCACTTAATAACCCTACCCTCCCAAACATCAGTTCTTAGCCTAGCATACCTGAAGCGTGCTCAGTTGAGCAACATCGTCTAAACAAAGCCTGTTACAACTCATGCAATTTATTGAATACAGGACTGAAAGTGGACAAAAGACGGGTCACGTGGGTGCAGAAGGGATGCACGTGTCACCTGTTTACCCCCCTGCTCACGTGGCTGACTGCCCAGCATAAGGAGAGAGTATCCTGTCACCAGCCCAGGAGAAGATCAGAATTCAAACTCTGAAGTACGGTTTCTGCTGAATACGCATTACCGTGGCAACGTACCGTTGGAACGTTGAAAAATGACAAGTCGGACCGCTGTAAGCCGAACCACCGTAAATCGGGGACCGTCTATATTGGCTGGAGGGCCAAATGGCACACAGAGGGTATGTAATACATGCTTGTTGAGAGGTTGACTGGCATCTCCAGGCCCCTCCCTTCCCCACTATCCCTAGCACACTGTTGGCACCGGAGGAAGTTGGTCAGATTTCATCGGTGTAGCCTACAGTTTTGGGAAACGCTCAGGGCGCTGGGAACTCCTGGCCCTTCATTAGCCGCCCTGCCCACCCCTGGGATGGCTGTGCCACTCCCGTGAGGACTCACCTACTCGCCATCTGTCAGGTAGACTTTATCCAGCCTTATCTTCTCAAATTTGTATTAACGAAGCAATGGATTTTTTCCTATCAAATTATGTTTCAATATTTTTCTAAAGATTTTATTTATTTATTTGACAGAGTGAGAGCACGAGCGGGCAGGAAGCGCAGAGGGAGAGGGAGAAGCAGATTCCCCACTGAGCCAGGAACCTGACGTGGGGCTCCATCCCAGGACCCTGGGATCGTGACCTGAGCCGAAGGCAGACGCTTAACCGACTGAGCCACCCAGGTGCCCATTACGTTTCAGTATTAAATGGATCTTTCCAAACCACACTCTCCCAGAGATTCTGCTAACAACCCTTCCATCCCTTAGGGTGGATGCTCTCTGGGGTGGTGGTGGCGGGGGGGGGCTGGGCCCGTGGTCAACCGTCTGGCCCTGAGTCCTGTTTGTCTGACTGACGGTATGTTACCACATCACGTGTAAAAGCTAATGGTCCTGTTACAGAAGCATGAGGGCTGCTTGTTTAAAAGTGTTGATTCTTGGCTCCATCTCAGAACCACAGAATCAGACCTGGGGGAGATGTCTGCACCAGACCCAGGAATCTGCATTTTACGAACTTCCCAGTAGATGCTGAGGCAGAGTCAAGGTCAAGAATCCCTGAGCTGGAGACAGAGAAAGCACTCTGTCAACCACCATTCCTCCATACCCCAGGCCAGCAGGAGCGGTGCCTGTGGGACCTGGGCTGGAGCAGCCCCACATCTGGGTGGCTGCAACATAGGCCACAGCATGAGCTGGTGTCCTTCTGGCTTCCTGAGCTCATTAATCACAACCTGACTGGCCTCCACTCACACCCAGTGGCTGGCTGGGCCTGGGCCTGGGGCAGGCAGGCCAGAGGTCCAGGGAGGTGGGTCGGAGGGGGCCAGGGCCTACTCGTGAGGAGAAGCTCAGCCTTGGAGAACCTGCCTGTGCCAGGCAATCTCTCTGATGGCCCCGGTGACCCCAGCTCCTGGCACTCACACCCCATGTAATGTAATTCCCTCTCCTGGAGTGGGGCCTGAACTGTGTGACTGGCTTTTAACAAAGAGAATACGGCAGAAGCGATGAGATGTCACTTTTGAGATGAAGTCATAAAAAGATTATGGTTTCTGTTGTGGGTGCTCTCTTGACCTCTCTCAGGTCAGTCGCTCTGGGGGAAGCCACTGCCCACGTGAGTCCCTGTGGCGAGGGACTAAAGCCTGCAAACAGCCATGTGCATGAATGTGGAAGCAGACCCCACCCCAGCACTGCCATCAGATGACACTGCAGCCCCAGGAGAGACCTTGCACCAGAGGTACCTGCCCTGAGCCATACCTGGATCCCTGACCCTCAGACACTGAGATTACAAATGCTTGTTGTTTTCAGCTGCGACATTTTGGGGTGACTTGTTGGGCAACAACGGGTAACTAATGTACCTCTTCATCTGGGCCCCATCCAGGGACAGCTCCTCCTCCATCGCTCCCTGAGCCCTTAGCCACGGTCGTGCCAGACACTGTACTAGTCCCCCCAGTGGGACGTGCTGCTTCACGTCCCCAGATCCTTGCAGATCCCTCCTCTGGAAGGCCGGGGCCACCTAGTCAACATATCCCTCTCTCAGGACTCAGCCCCAGTGTCACCTCCTCTGTGTCACCTCCCCACCTCCCTCCACCGATCCGCCCAGCCCAGGTGGTTCCAGTCAAAGCCAGTCAAAGGCATTCCCTCCTTTTTTCACTTACAGCCTGTCCCCCCGCTAGATGGTGGCTCCTAGAAGGCTGCGCCACAGTCACGTTCTTCTGTCCTACCTGATGTTCCGCACAAGGTCTGACACAGAGCAGGCACGGGTGAGGTTTGATGAGCGAATAAATAATGAGCAACGAGTGACTGATTCTGCCCCCATGGCCTGCCACCTCCCAAGGCCGTGCTCTTTTTACACTTAAGTACAGAAAACCAGCTCTGTTATCCTCCCCCAGAAACCAGCCTTTTTTCCCAATGCCCTTGACTCTTTTCCAGGACCGTCACCTCCGCACAAGCTGGAATTCCCTCCTTCCTCCTTCTAGCCCGTGTGCTCACGCCATTCTTCACATCCCTTGATCCTAGCACTGTGGGTGGCCCGGCCAGACAGCCACCATCTCTCGAGAGCACGGCTACAGCTGTCCCACGGGCCGCTCCTCCTCTCTTGGGCACCCCCGTTTATCCTCCTGGGGACCTCTAAAATGCTGCTTAGAGCATAGAAGGGGGAGCCACGGGGACAGTGGACATGATAGCATTTTTTTTTTTTTAAAGATTTTATTTATTTATTTGAGAGAGAGAGAATGAGAGACAGAGAGCAGGAGAGGGAGGAGGGTCAGAGGGAGAAGCAGACTCCCTGCCGAGCAGAGAGCCCGATGTGGGACTCGATCCTGGGACTCCAGGACCATGACCTGAGCCGAAGGCAGTCGCTTAACCAACTGAGCCACCCAGGCGCCCGACATGATAGCATTTTATAAAGGGTAGGATCACTGCGGCCACCTCAGGCCACACGGTGACTGGCACCTCAGGAACCCTAGAATTGGGTCCAAACTCTTAGCCTGGCATTTGGAGGACCCCCAGGATCTGATCCCAAGTACTTGTACCCAAGTGGTATAAGTAGGCTTTAAATCACCATCCAGCTCACACCGTGGAGTACTTGCACCAGGCCAGGCTTCGTACACATCACATCTCATTTCGTTAACATTTATTAAACTCCTACTGCGTACTACAAGCCATTTAAGTGCTTTACAGCCTTGAATTGTTGAGTCTTCACAAATGCCCTAAGAAAGAGCGTTTCATGCGCAGCCCAAGACAGACAGCTAATAACAGGCAGGGCTGGGATTTGAACCCAGGTCTGTCTACCTTCTCAGGTTTCTTACCACCATGCAGTCCCTCTTACAAACTTATGTTTGCCAACCACCTTCACGATTGTTCGCCACAATCAAACAGCACCTGCATTATTGCTTCCTTAGGACTTCTCCTTAAATCACCCCAAACGGTGCGGTGGCTAAGGGGTGGACTTGGAATCACACTACCTGGATGAGACTCCTGGCTCCCCCACTTAACTCTCAGCCCCAGGAGAGACCTTGCGGAGACGGGGTCTGTGTCTCCCCTCTAGCCAGACGACCCACGGGGCTGAGCCCCATCTCCCCCACCTGACTAGCATCAGAGAACCCTTTATGAGCCTCAACTTCTTCCTGTAAAATGGCACCATCCCTCCCAGGGTTCTTGTGAGGAGTAGTAAGTTAGACATACAGAGTGCTCAGCACATAGTATGAGCGGCGGTCAGGAGGCCTGGCTTGCGGCGGGCCTGCGCATCCCCCTGCTCCTTGCATCGGAAGGAAGTGTGTGACTCGCCTGGGCCGCTGAAGTGTGCAGGGGAGTGGCGCGTGCGCCGCGGCAGGCAGAGCTCGGGAGCCAGCATGCCATCCACCTCACACTCCTTCTCCCTGTCCTCATGATCGCCACATTCCAAATGGTGGCGCCTCCATCCGCTTGGCTCCCTGAGTGGGGGATCCCCAGCCGACCCCCGATGGGCAGGGAGCATTGAGTGAGAAATAAACCTTTATTGTTTGGTCACTTCCGTCGAGCCTGGCCTGTATTGACGGATGCAGCAAAAGTCCAGTAAACATTAACTTATCCCTGTTATTTACTAGGCCTTATTTCCTTGATGAAACGACATCACTTTTGTAAATGAAGACATACAGCACCACTTGCTGTTGTTAAGATTCACATAATAATTAAGATGAGAAACGTTTATCCCTGTGCCCGCGAAAATCACCTTGCCCGCTCCCCGTCGGACATCCGTGTACCACCATTCTAGAAGTGCTCTTCAAAGGTTGCCCTCTGAGACATGGAACATTGGCTGCAGATTTGGGAAGCCCGGCCAGAGAGTGCCTCACGGTCGGCTCCAGGCCACTGCCCTTGCCAGCCTGAGTCACCCCCCCCAACCCCCCCGGCCCACGTCCGCAGCCGAGCGCAGCTCCACGCCCCCTCAGGGGCACCTGCCCCGCCGCGGCCCTTACCTCTGCAGACCGTGCCATTCTCCACCGCCTCAAAGCCTGCTTTGCACATGCAGCGGCCAATGGGCACCAACCACTCGCCGTCCCCGTTACAGTAGAGCTTGATGGGCACGTCCACCTCCTCGGCGTTGGCGATACAGCTGCCCCGGGCGGCCACCAGCGAGGTGCTCTCGGCCCCCGAAAGGGTCTCCTGGAAGATGGCGCCATTCTGGATGATGCGGGGGCACTTGCGGTAGAAGACACGCACAGCGATGAGGGACATGCAGCCACCATAGTCCTGGAAGGCCAGGTAGAAGCCGCTGCGGGACACAGGCCCAAAGCTCCGCACCTCCGTGTTGATCTTCATGACCCGGCCACCCAGGTCCACCTGTGAGAAGCTCTCGTCGGCCGCGATGGTGTCCACCTTCACCCATGGATTCTCCATCCAGTTGGGGAAGGTCTTGGTGGCCGAGTCAAAGTCGGCCTCATAGTAATAGAGGTTGAAGGTCTCCTTGCAGGAGCCGGGCACGCTGGGGATGCTGCTGCAGTCACGCACCGAGAACTTCATCTCCACGTGGATGCGGTGGGCGCCGCGGCGCCGGATGAACTTGGTCCGTAGCCAGTTGTTCTGGCTCGACTCAAACACATTGCACACCTGGTACGTGCGGATCGTGTTCATGTTCTCATCGTAGCCACTCACCTCTTCCCACTGTGGGTGAAATGCTAGTCAGGTGGGGGAGATGGGGCTCAGCCCCATGGGTCGTCTGGCTAGAGGGGAGACACAGACCCTGTCTTAGGGAAGCCTTCAGTCGGATGGGGGTAAATAGGACTCTTACCACTGGGGGCCTCCTAGTCTAATGGAGGAGGCACACACTCTACCTTAGGCATCTTCTAGTCTAATGATGGAGACATGATTCGTATCATCAGAGAACTCCCGAGCTGAGGAGAGACATGGCCTTGGCCCCGAGGAATTCCCCAGTCTGTGAGGGAGACATGCCAATCTGATGGGAAGGGCACACACCCTGTTCTTGGTTTTCCCCTGATTAATATGGGAGATGTGACCCTCCCCCCTGGGGTGAAAAAGGAGATGTGGCCCCAGCTCCTGGGAAGCTCCCGCCTAGAAGGGAAAATAGGGAGAGGCCCACCCGGAGGGAATTCCCTCTGCTGAGAGCAGACATAGCTCTGTGCTTCTGGAGTACTAGTCTGATGGGGGAGTCAGAACGTCTGCCTACTGGGAGCTCCTATTCTGACCAGGGAGACACAGTCCTTGCCCCAGGGGATTCCCAGTCTGACGGAAGAAGAGCCCTTATCCCCACGATGCAGAAGATAAGCAGTCTGTTCTGGGGCCTTACGTGGTTAAGATACCCCTAAAGGAGTTAGGGGACCTGGAGAGAGAGACTTTCTACCCTTCCTGCCTGTGGCAGGTGCCTCGGCACCCTCCCTGGGCCCCAGACTGGCTCTCTCACATGCAGCTGAGAGTTCCCGAGCCCCACTGCTGGGGGTGCGGGGCAGGGCCATGGAAGGCTGGGGATGAAGGGCACCAGCCCCATGGTGTCTCCTCACAGACCCTCACAAGCCAAGCTCACTCACATGCTGAGCCTTTGTTCACAATTCTGTGCCCTCCTCGAGTACCCTCTCGTCTTCTCTGTCCATCCTTCTGGAGCCTCTTGCAGCAGGCTCTCTCTGGCTGCAGAGTTTGCATTCGCCGACTCTCCCGTGGGCCTCTGGGGACACCAGCCTGGGCGAGGGCCGGGCACCCTTGGGCCTCTCGGCCTGGTCTCCCCGATGGGGCTGAGAGCTTGCCGAGAGTAGCTCCATACCCCTCCTGTGTCCCCGTTGGCACTGGGCTGGCTTTCCCTGGGCTAGAGCCAAAAGAGCCGGAACAGCAAGGCACCCCCTCCCGCCCATGCAGGCCTGGGGTGGGTGCTGGAACAGGACCTCATTTCTTTGTCCTGATTATCGCACATGCTGTATTACCATCACCATTTTACAGATGAGCGGGTAGAGACCAGGGAAGTGAGGCCACTTGACCCAGGTCACACAGACCTAGACCCGTTCCCATGCTTGGGCACGCTGCCTTGAAACACAACGACCCACAGGTACCCCAGGAGTCCTGGGTTTTGTTCCAGCTCTGTTAACTTGATGCATGGCCTTGGGCAAGTCACTTCCCCTCGCTGGGCCTCTATTTTCCCAACTGCCAAATGGGACTGTGGGTGGGGGATGGTGAGGCAGGTGGTAGTAGAGGTGTCACCCGCAAGTGGGTGTTCTTTATTCTTCTGCCTTCCTCAGATATCTGGGCCAAGTCTGTGCGGGGCGCTGTAGTGGCTGTCGGCCTGGGGAGGGTTGATGTTGTGAAGGGCCAGTGCCCGTGGGGAAGGCCGAACTGGAGCCTGCTGGCCCAGCCTCGACGTCAGCGGTGGCTCTGAAGCTCCCTACGTTGCATTTTTTTTTTTTTTTTTGGTGGCACCATGTGACAAAGTCAGCCCCTTGTTACAACCACTGCTCTTCTTCAGAACTTAATTAGAGCACTTAATTAGAGCACTCTGCCTTTCTCCCCTCTCTCTAATTAACATGCGGAGGCCCTGCAGCCTAAACACCCCAAATAATTGCGTCCGGGGGCCCTGCAGCCGAGCCTGGCCTCATTCCTGTTAGGGTGGGGCTGCGGGCCCAGCCGCCTTCGCAGATGGAAAACTGGTGACAAGAAAGAACCACAGAAAGAGGCCTGACCCTAGGGCCCTGCCTATTGAGAGCACAGGCCGGGGGGGGGGGGTGGGGTGGGGGGTGGGATGCAGCTCCTTGGGGCGGCAGCCGAGTCCCAGTGGGAGGAGCTGGGATGGGGGGAAGGGAAGGGAGGGGCTGGGGGAGCCCAGAGCCCTCTCCGGAGCCCAGGGGACGTAATGATACCCTGAGGACGTAATGATATTGAAACTCATGACCGTGACAATGATGATGGTGGTCCGACTACAGCTACTCATCGTGGGGGAGGTGGGGAGGAGGCGCCCTCTGCCAGGCACTGTGCTAGACACCGTGCAGGAAAACCTCACATCAGTCCGGTGCAGAGGACATGACCACCATCATTTCATAGATGAGGAAACCGAAGCTCAGACAGGTTAAAGAACTGGCGCCAAATCATGCAGCTGGTGAGTGGCAGAATTGGGACAGAATTTCAGGCACGTCCGGCCCCACAGCCTGTATGTAAGTCGGTGCTAGAAGAACGAGGAATCTCAAATTGTGCCTGTTCTGGCTCCTGAGGGATTCACAGCCTACCTGGGCTCAAACCACTGGCCCCAGGGAAGTAGGGGCCTCATGGAAGTGTGAGAATAAGAGCTCAGGGAGGGGGAGTCTTGTGTTATGGGGACCCAGAAAGGGGGCCCGGAGGACGCAGTCACAGCCCTGGATACAAACCTGAGCCCCATCACTAACTAGGTGTAACGCCCCTGGCAGGTGGCTACAACTCTCTGAGCCTCAGTTTCCTTACCTGTAAAATGGAGGTGTTTCCTCCCCATATGATTGGAGATGATGTGTATAAAGGCGCTTCCTTGATTCAGTATGTGATACAGTGGGTGCTCAGAAAATGATAATTCACTTTCCTCATCTGTAGAATGGGGGCAGCGCGTGTTCCTACTTCTCAGCCTCGCCCTGAGGATGCCACAGGATAAAGACTGAAAGCAACCAGCATGTTGTCATGGTAACTGGTGCTCGCTCCATCAATAGTAGGGGACCAGGAGGGTGGGGCAATGAGAGGCCAGCCTCGGGCCCTGAAGGAGGGAAAGGAGCTGGAATTTAGGGGCATCCAGGCCCTGCAGCAGAACCCGAGGTCTTCTGAGGGACCAGGCAGGGTTTGGGGACCACCAACTCACCCCTGATGGAGGATGCACGATCCAGCCCAGCTCCGCTGTCGCTGTGGTTGAGTCCATCAGCGTTTCTGTGAGGAAAGCAAAGAGTCACTGCCGCCCACCTACTGAGTGCTGTCAATCAGCCCAAGACCCCCATCCCTCAAGGGCCTCCTTTACAAAGCGTCACCTACTTCCATTGCACCAATCAATCATCTGGCTGTACTCCTGCAGACTACCCTCCCTCTAGGTCTCCCACTCCATGATCCCACCCACTCCCACGTTCCGGCCAATCGTCTGATTCTACCTCTCCAGGCTCCACCCCTTAAAGCCCAGCTTCAGCCCTTCTGCCCGTGGTCATGCCTCCTCTCAGCCCACCATGTCCCACCAACCTGGCTATTGACATTTCCCTCCCTTGTTGGTGGAGAAGCGTCTTAACCTGGACTCTCCTGGGTGGGCTTCAGAGAGTCCACCAGGCAACCCTGGAAATTTTACATCAAACTTAGGGTGTCTGTTTGCTTTTCGGCTTGCATCAAATTCTCAAAAACTGGAATGTGGCCCTTAGAAAGGCCTCTCTTTAAACCTCCTATCAGGGACACCCTCCCCCCTTCTCCAGGCACCTGGAGTCCTCCATAGTGTCCCCACACTGGGGCTCCCTCCCCGAGGGCTCAGTCAATTGTGCTCCTAGGATAGGGCCCTAGGAGTGGGGTGGGGGTGGGTGGGTGTTGAGCGTGAGCACTGTGCCAAGTAGCTCCAGTCTGTCACCTGCCCTCTGGGGGTTGAAGAAATTCAAATGAGCTTCTGAACCAGCCAGGGCCCCACCTGCCCCTCCCCCCACTCCAGCAGCTGGAAGGAAGGAGCCACACAGCCTGTTGATGAAGACCGCCAGGGCCAGAGAGAGGCCCATTCTTCCCCAGATAAGGCCCAGGACCCCTTCCCACTACCCCATAGGGAATTCAAAACACTTCTTGAGCTGAACTGCATTGAGCAGATTTAAATTGACCCCGTTCAAGCATTCATTCAACACATATATCCTGATGCTCCTTATGTGCCAGGCACTGGGGACCCCGAGAGAGAAAACGGTGAAGAGTAAGGCCCTACTATGGAGTTGTTCACAGTCTAGTAGTGGTGATAAGGCGTGAATACAAATAGCCATGAGAGAGTGGGCAGAGAGACCTAGAAGGTCCCAGCGGGACCTTCTGCACCAGCTAGCTTGGTGGGCACGGGTGAGAAGTGCTTGCTGCTATGCTCCGCCTCTGGGCCCCAGCAGACCTCACGAATCAATGCCCACCACTCTGGCTGCACGGGGCTCCTGGCCTCTGTGTGCCAGGACGCTAACACCCACCGCTTGAGATGCTATCCGGGCCCAGCCCCACTGCTTCATTTCGGAGATAGGGCGGCTGAGGCACAGAGAGGGGAAGAGACTTCCTAAAGATCCCATAGGAGTTGGTGGCAGAGTGGGAGGTGCAGATCTCCTGCTTCCGACCCTATAAACTTCTAGATACTTAGTTGGATAGCCTGGGCTGGATGAACTCGGCTGAGGATAGTGGGGGCAGGGTGCACAGTGCCCAGGCCGCCGTGAGGGTCGGAATGCGAGCAACAAGATCTTGAACTAGGGCAGGAGCGGCGTGGATGGGAGGAAGCATTCAGCCAGAGGTGACCCCAGTCAGACCCACGAGCTGACAACAGAGGAAGCAGCAGTGTCCCCATGACCGCCTGTGGCTTATGTCTGCAGTCACTGTGTCCCTTTGCACGGGGGGCTAGTGAGGGGGGAGGAGGGGTGCCAGGGACGGTGGAGTCCAGTGCCAAGGGCGTCTTTTTGATGGCAAATCGGAGGGAAGTTCTATTGTGCTGCTTTGGAGCTGAAAAAAGGGTTCCTTTTCACACTCCAAATGCTACAGATTCTTCTTCCTGGAGAGAACAAGGGCTGAACTTTTAACCTGTTTTCTCTCATCGGCCTCAGCCAGAGACGCGCCAAGCCGGGCTCTCTGCCTGGGCCTGAGGAACAGCTGCTGGAGCCGTGTGGAACAAGGGAGAGGAGACTCCGCTTGGGACTAGAAAGGGCTCGGGTGGGGGAGGCAAGCGTGCCAAGCAGGTGGCCCCACCCCTTGGCTGGATTCTTGGGCTGACCCAGAGGCCAAGCACTAGAGGATTCCATGGCCCAGAGGAGGGGCTGTGAGCTACATCCTCATTGTATGGGTGGAAGCTCAGGCCCAGAGAGGGCAAATGACTTGCCAAAAGTCATGGACTAAAGCCTGGTGCTCAAACTCCAGGCTCCCAGGGAGCTCAGGCTGGGGAGTGCTCCACAGCCCCCCCTCTGCCTCCCACCACACCTGGAACCAGCAAGGGGAGGATCTCAGGAGGCCGGAAGTCAAGGGGCTAGTTGGCTCACAGATAGGAAAGGGCTAAGAGGGAGTGTGAAGTTTGCAGATCCCCTGGCGGCGGGTGGGATGCAAGAAGCTCCCTTCTCCCCATACCACTCCTGGCTTTGCCCGGAAGCCTGCCTCTGGGAAAGCTGTTACCCCTTGGGGCTGTGGCAGGAGGACACCCATGGGTGCTCTTCCCCCCACACTTCCCCTCGGCCTTTTGCTTTTCAATGTTGACACCTCCCTCCACCCACTGCACATAAGGCCGGTAGGCAGAGCAGATAAAGTAGGGGTCAGGAGGTCAGAGGGCCTTCGATTCTAACACCCGCTCTGCCACCTACTCGCCTTGTAACCTTGGACCTGTAACCTTCCTAAGCCTTGGTTTCTTCACCTAGAAAATCATCATAGTGCCTTCTGAGTGGGGCCAGGAGGACGGAAGGACAGGGAAGTGTGTTAACCTGGAGCCCAGCGCAAAGCAGAGCCTCGGTGAGTGGCAGATATTCTTTTTTTAGACGGAGCGTGGTGCTTTTTGTCTGACCCCGTGCCTGCACACACGCCATTTCCTCTGGGCTCATGCGGTGGCCCCTGAGAGTGAGGCTCCCCCCGCACTCCAGACGGCACTTGCCAACATCTGACAAACATCAGCCTCTAGCCCCAGCGCCGCAGCCTCCGAGGAGCTTTCCTGGTCCGTCTGATGCTGCTTTCCTGGGATGTCCTGCGTTTCCTCTTTGTTCCTCTCAAAACGAACACGAAAGTCACATTCGGTTCCCCAGGGAGTCTGGGGCTAGTCATTCTTGCCCCAGGAACCTGGGTGGGTTCAGGGAGCCAGGCCTCCTTCCACCACCAGCATTTCCTTCCTTCTCCCCATATCACCCCAGACATCTCCCCTCCAGCCCCAAAAATCTGCAAAAGGGAGAGAACTCATGGTCACAGAGATGGAGACCTTTCTATTAGGAGCTGGAGACCCTCACCAACGTTCTTCCAACAATGCCAAGACATAGTTGATACAATCCCATTTCATAGATGGGAAAATTGAGGGTTACCAAGGCTCGGGAGCTTGCCCAAGGTCACACATCTTGCATCCACAAGCTGTGCTCCAGCTGTACGGACTCTGTGGCGCTCTCTCTCAGCCCTGTACCCCACACATACTGTTCCTTCTGATCGTCTCCCCCTCCACACCTCCTCTGCCTGCCCCCAAGACCCAGCACGGGGCTTGGCACATAGTAGGTCTACAGTCAGAGGCCGAACTCACCCCCCACCCCCGGGCTAATGTTCTGTTCCACCAGAACAACATTCATGACTTCAGCCATTGCCACCTACAACCTGCACTGTATTTAGCTACTATTTTTCTTCCAGCTGACTCTTCTTTTAAGTGCATTTTAAGGAGGAAAAAGTTATCATTATTATAAACGGGAAACCAATATCACTTGCCATAAAAAGAAGGAAAATAAACACACGACTATTACAATTAAAAATGTTCCTCTGCAAACTACCTAACATCATTTCACTTCCCACACTTTGGGGACCGCGAGACTGTGCCGAGCTGCTTCTGAAGTGCTAGAAATGTCCCCATCCCATCCCCACTGTGACAATGACAATCCCTCATGCAGGGGAAGCTGTTTTCGCTGTACACAGATAATTAATCACCGTACGATGTGACAAAGACTGCGACAGGGACGTGCAAGGGGTACTGTGGGTGTGCAAGGAGAGGAAGAAAATGCTCAGCTTAGGGATGGCTTTCCTGGAGGAAGTGACACTTGAATGGAGGCTTGAAGAATGAGTTAGGAGGGAGTCAGGAGAGGCTGAATGGGAAGGGCATGTGAGGCAGAGGGAACAGTGGAGGCAAAGGCGAGGAGGTGAGTGAGAGCACGGTCCGTGGGAATGAGTAAGTGTTGGCAAGGGTTGGCAGCTCTCTGAGGCCCCCTGGCTGGACTACGTCCACCTGCCCACATCCCTCCCTGCTCCTCTGGTGCTCCCCACCCCTGCCCTGCCCCACACTGCCCTTTTCCTCGCCTCTGTTCACTCCCACCCCAGCGAGCCCTCTGGAAATGTCTGGTTTGCAAGCCCTGAATGTGCTCCGTGACCATCTTTTAGAATCCCAAGGGCTGGATGAGGGGACTGAGGCTGTGCGGACAGATTCTCAGCACTCCGGAGAAAGCTGGAACCAGGGCCTCCAGCCGCCAGCTCGGACAGCCCGCCTCGGTGGGAAAACCGGGTTCGCACCACGGCAATGGCTTTGGCCCTAGCCCCGCTGCGCCCACACCCCCTCTCCTTCCTGGAGACTGCACAGAAGAAAGCAATCAGGAGGCCTTGATTGCACAGGCTGGGGAGGCCCGTAGGCCCCTCTGGCTATGTGTGAACGAGCAGTGTGCATTTCAGAAATATTTGAGCTAAAAGGGGAGACACACTGAAGTCGTTAGTGTGGAGCCGACAGGAGGGTGGCTGCACGCGGAGGCCCTGGCGGACGCTACCACCACCCCCTGTTTCAGGCTGGGGCAGGCGGCCACCGTCTGCTCCCCGATCCAGCCCTGGTCAGCTCTGTCTGACCCCTGCGGGGGCCGCGGACCCTGTTTGTCTGGGCTAATGGCAGTGTGTGAGAGTTCCAAAGAGACGAGGAGGAACTTTCATTAAGCACCTACTGTGTGCCGGGCACTGAGACAAGCACTCTAAATACGGCTTCGGCTCATGACGACCTGTGAGGTATATGCTATTAACCCCGTTTTATAGATGCAGAAACTGAGGTCAGGGAGGTAAAGCAACCTTGACAAGGGCACACAGGTGAATCTGGCATTTGAAATCACATCTGTCTCATTTTACATCTGCAGGACTGCTTTGAGTGAGAGAGTGCAAGTGTGTGTGTGGGGGGGTGG